GTAACAGGCCTTATCATGCCTTGAACAACTATGGGAGGACAGGAAAGAACCTGAACCTTCATCAGCCTTCTGCTGATCTTTGTGAAAGGACAAAGCCCAGACTAGAAGACACTGTTAAACATTCAGCCTTTGAACTGTACAGCACACATACAACAAAAGAGGTGTTTAGCATTTTGATTCTGCTATAAACACACTGCCAAGTCAACTCTTGTTTGACCTAAGAAAATGAATCCCCAAGCACTCATGCCAAGTGGTTGGGAGTAGTTCCTTCACTGCCCCACCACACCCAACCCATCCCACACAGGCAGGCTCTCCACAGTACACTGGTTCTAGAAAACTCTGGCACAGAGGAATGTTACATGAATTATCTGGCCTGCCTTTGCCACTGAAGACTGCTCACTCCAAGTGGTACACTTGAAATTTACTGTGTCAAGTGTTCACTTTGGCTCAAACCACGTGAGCCTCTTCCTTAAATGTCAAAAAAAATTAAGTTTGAAACCCAACAGTGCAGCTCAGGGAGTTTTGTTGAGGTGCAGATTAGGTACTGAGGTAGCACAAAATTTATGAGGGTCTTAAAAAAATCATGAAGGAACCTCAGAATTGTGATGGGAATGAGAGCAATTGAGGACAGGAAAACACTGGTGGTGCTGAAACTGTCTCTGCAGCAGTGCAAAAGGGCTGGTTGAGAGAGTAAAGAGATGACCCCAGCAGCAGAAACTGGAGAAAACTACCATGTCTGTAAACCTAGGAGCTACAGATGAAGGTGCATCAAGTTAGAAGCATCAAAACCCACCTGAACATTGCTGTTTTTGCAGAAAGTACAGAGATTTGGGGTTTTCAGTATGTATATTAAAAAAGCAATAAAGAACTGATATAGAAATAGCTTTACCAGGGGAGAAATCCCAAATTAAAACATAATCAATAGATAAAACAAATCAACAGATTTTCTATTTAAATTATTTGCTTCTTGGTACATAAGACATCCTGGGTCTCCTGCTCTCTTTGCTGTTTGATCCTAAAGTGGAGCTACAATTCTGTTTGTTTCCAAGTTGCCATGAAAATTAATGCAAAGACCAACTTAGAAATGCAACTCTCTGTGGATTGCAGCAGGAACACAAGACAAACTGTAGGTCCACATACAGTAATTACCAAAAATGGCCAAAACCCCCTAAACACCATCAAACAGAGCTAAATCTGTCTCTTCCCCACACAGAGTCCACTTCAAAGTACAGGAGATCCTGCACTTCTCTTAAGGGCAAACACCAATTGCTCAGTTATTTATCAGTGCTGGCCTAGCATGAACTTTAAAGGCAGCCAGACTTAGTCACATGCTAAAGGAAGGGTGTCCAACAGCTAATTCTAATCCCAAAAAGTTTATCTGGAAGAGGCACCAGAGAGAAGATGATGAGTGTCTAAAATGCACCCACCAGCCTTCCACATCTCGAGAGCTGCGGCATCATTCTTACAGTAACAGCTTCCTAGGGAATAAGCAGCAATAACTGTTACCTAGCACCAACTCGCAGCTTCCTGAGGAAAACCTCTCGGGCTCCGTTAAATGGCAACCAAGTTACAACGACAGCGCCAAACTGAAGAACCACCAACCACTTCCACAGTGCAACCCCACCGGTTGAAAATAAATAAACCCCAAAACCCTAAAACAAAACTAAGAAACACGGACAGGGGCAGGGAGGAGGAAGCTTTTTTTTTTAAGTGTCAAAGTTTTGGTAAAAATTTGCTTCTGGTAGTTAAACCACGACTAACTTGTGCAGAATGACAGTCAGCCAAATTCAACCTTGAGTACACAGGAGAAAGGTCAAAGCACTGTCAAAAGCAATGTTGCTCATAGTCTGAAGATTCTATTGATTATCCATAATTACTCACTGCTTCTAAAATTTGAACCCTTAAGATCCATTTCGCCAGTGATTCTAAACCAGAGAGCGCAATCAGGCCAGAACAAACAACGAAACTGAAGTTTGACATTTGATTCCAGTCTCAATGTCACTCTGCCTTTCACTTGACAAGGACATTGCACGCGTTAAAAATCAGGAAGTGCCTGCTCAAGCGATCTTGTCTGTTTAAAATGCAATGCATGTACACGGGGACTCAGGTTTTAAAGAAAGACAGAAAGTGAAACGCACTGGGAGCCGTTTCTCTGAGTTTTGGAGCCACCAGGCCTTACAGGCACTCACAGGTGAGACGCCCAGACTGGGCCGGACGCCCGGCACACACAACCCCCCGTGCCAAAGGCGGGCAGAGCTGCAACAAAGAGCACGAGAGCTTCCTTGGGAAGCTAAAAAAGCGAACTCATGGTGACACTGACAGGCAGAACCGGCTCCTTTGTGTGAGACCGGGGCTTGAGCCGCTCGCCATGTGCAGCTCCGGGAAGGAGGGGGGGTCACACAGCGAGGTCGGAGCCGCCTCAGCCCCCGGCCCGGTCACTCACCCAGCACATCCGCGGTGCGGTGCCGCGCCACGAAACAGGCGTCATCCCCGTAGCACATGCCTTTCTTGAGGATGCCCTTGCGGAAATCTTTGCCGAAGCCACAGCTGGCCGTCACCAGGCTGTAGTCGCGGGAGTCCGTCTGCGACAGGCCGCCCAGGACCGCCCGCGCCACCAGCCTGCCGTAGGAGAGCACCGAGAACATGGCGTGGGGCGCCCAGCAGCCGAGCGCCAGGAACGCGGGGATCCACCGGCGCAGCCGCCTCCTGCCCGCCGAGCGCCAGCCGCAGGGCGCCAGCCTTCCTTCCCCTGCCCGCCGGCCCGCGCCGCCGCCGCTCCGAGCCCTGCCCGCCGCGGAGCCTCGTCCCTCCGGCTGCGGCCGCGGTTCACCCGCCCTCGACGCCCCTCACGGCCCGCGCGCTGCCCCTCGCGCTGCCCCTCACGGCCGGGCTCGCCGGCAGCGCCCCCGCCTTCCGCGCCACCCTCCCCGCCCCCCGAGGGGGGCTGTGCCAGCTCCCCGCTGCCCGCGGAGCTCCCGGGGCTCCCTCCGGGCTCGCTCCCCGCCGCCCGCGGTGCCCGGTCAGAGCCGCCCGCGCGGGGCGCGAGGCCGGCCCCGCCCCCTCCCCGCCTCCCGGCGCGCGTGCGCGGCGGAGGAGCGCGGCCGCCCCCCATTGGCTCCCCGCCCCGCCTCATTTGCATGTTGCGGGACAATAACAGCGGGCGGCTCCCGGCAGCCCCCGCGGCGCCGAGCGGGGCCCGCGCCCCCGCCCCCGCCGGCTCTCGGCCGCAATTAACGCAATTAGCGCAATTAACGTTCTCACGGCGGGCACAGCGCGGCTGCGCCTAACCCACATACTTGCCCTCCACGCCCCGCGCGTCTCGCGTGCTCCGAATAACTCGCGGGGACGGGCTGGCCGGCGGTGCCCCGTGCCTGCCGAGGACGGTTATGTGAGTCACGGCGCGCAGAAATGCGCCGGGTTTGGTTTTTTCCGTGAGAGGCTTCTCTGCAAAGCCCTGGCAAGGCTGGCAGTTAATCCATTTTGGCTGAGGAACGTGAAATGCCAAACAAAAGCCTCACGAGAAGGGCGTGTTGTGCGGGCGTCGCTCAAACCCCGCAAAACCACTTTAATTGTAGCTGAGAGTGACACAGAGCTCTCAGCTGGACAATTTCAACGGCAACGACTTGAAGGCAGCAATGTTGTGAAGACCCACAATACTCAATAAAGACCCAGTTCCTCATTTTCTGCACCTCGGTTTTCCTTGCTGCTCGTGGGTGTGCAAACAATGGTTTTGTCCCCTTGGAAGTTCCCAGCAGGTTGCTCTGCAAATTCGTTTAATTCCTCTGGGTAGAGGCACAAGAGGCTGCTGCCACTTATACAACCCGAGACGACAAACAATAGAGTGCAAATACAGCAGAGGAAGGTGTGGAACCTGCCCCAGAGCTGCCTGCAGTGAAAGGAAGAGCTCTGTGCCACACTGCTGCAGAAGCACCCTCACTATCACACGGGAGGCGTTTTGCTCCCTGTGCACCTTGACAGAGACAATATTGCCCCTCATACACTGCTAAAGGCTTTAAGCAATGTGTGAGAATTACCCAGCTAAAGCTGAAATTGTATCTAAACTTATTAAAAAAAAAAAATTAATCCTCCTGTTAGAACAGGGAGAAAGGGAATGAACACGAGGAGCAGCCCAGAGTGGTGGATTAGGGGATGGCTGCACAGCTGAATGTGCCAGTGTGCTGGAGATAAGGGAGTGCTGCTGCCAGGGCCTGGCAGGGTGTGAGAGCAGACAAACAAGGTAGCTCCTCTCAGTGCCTCACACCCTCCTTTATCAGCGAAGGGAAGCACACATTTGCAGAGCTTCCCCCACAGAATCATTCTTTCCCTTCCTCGAGTCTCGTTCTTCCTCTTCCTTGTCCAGGTCCTGTCTAGTTCCAGTCCAGCCTGGCCTAACCCCTGCCTGCAGTGCCCTGAGGCAGCTCAGGATGGTGCAAGGTGACCTGTCCTGCATTCCCTGGCTGTGCTGCTCAGGGAATCCCCCCAGCTAAAGCTGAGTTCTCAATGCTGAGTTTTCCAGGGCTGGAAGGGTTCTCTCTGTGCCACTTTGCCCAGCAGGCACGGCTCAAATGCTGAGGGACATCGTGAGCTCAGGGCTGACAAACTCATTTGGCAGAGCACGACTCTGTGCTCCCAACCAGGAGCTCTTCACACTCCTCCATCCTTGAGAGTCTTGGAAACAGCCTCCCTGGGGAAGTGGTGGAGTCACAATCCCTTGGAGAGTTCAAAAAATGAGTAGGTCACTCATCACTTTGTGACACAGTTTAGTGGGCATGGGGGTATTTGGTGGAAGCTTGGCCTTGATCTTGGAAGACTTTTCCAAGCTTAATGGTCCCATGATTCTACCCCAGGTCACCCACCCAAGTCTGTCCAGACAGCCAGATGACCTCAAAATGCACATGGTAATTAGTAACCTTTGATCACTCCTGCACAGTTGTGCCCAGATGAAAAACTGCTCCTGGTTTTCATTCAGAGTATCTCTGAGCCCCTGTGAGACAAAACCCCAACTATTTTTAATAAAATACTTCAGAACTGGTTTTCTCCACTGCTCAGGGCCAGTCTGGAGAGTTCTCCCTGTAAATCCCTCCCAGCCCATGCCCTGCTGCCTTCCTCAGTGTTATTCTTGTACCCTGAGAGTCAATATCCTGCCAAGTGATATTTGTTTAAAATTCCCCAATGCACAAATTTGGCATAAAAACTGGACCAAAGGGCATCCCCCTGGTTACTGCAGCTGGGTGGAATCTTCCCACCTCAAAGTCCAAGATCTATTTACATCAGCTCACTTAAGCTGCAAAAAACAGAATGAACTCTTCCTGCTAGGCTTGTCCAGACCAATAAATGCACTGGGGAGTGCAAAGCAGAAGTGCTGCACAAAGTAATCAACTGCTGAAGGCACAAGCAGGTTTCCAGCTTGTTTTAAAACTGATTCAGTGGTAGCTGACGTCAATCCTCCCTCCCAAGTATCTGAGCCCTGAGACTGGAGTGTGATAAATATTACCTGTAATGCCATCTGCTGTACAGACTGCCCCAGCTCCTCACTATTTATTTAAGGGCTAATCTTGTGCTAGACCAAAATGCAGTTTATTTCAGCCTGGTTTGACTTTGTTTGGACTCTAATTCTAAATGCCTGTCCACTTGGACTTGTAAAGTGATCTGTCATAGGGCAAACCCCATGTTAGCCCTGAAAAGCTGAAGTTCAAGACAGCACAGTTGGATTAAAAAGAAAACTAATGTGAGAAGGACCACATGAGGAGTCAAGAGAAGATGCAGAGTCAGAAGATCACCAGCAGAAATCACAGAATGGTTTGAGGGGATCTCAAATATCATCTCATTGCCATGGGCAGGGACACCTTCAACTATCCCAGGTTGCTCCAGCCTGGCCTTGGACACTTCCAGGGATGGGGCAGCCACAGCTTCTATAATGCTCAAATGCACATCAGAACCTTGCTGCTGAAACTGTAATTGAAACAGTAACAGAGTAAATCCCTGAACGTGTTTTTTAATAAACAGGAATCTACTGCCTCTCAAATTGCTTGAATTTTCATTTTATGGGACCTCCCAGATCAGGATCACAGTGCCCTTTTTAATTATTAATTAGCTCATGTTGACAGGATAAATGAAATCTCTCTGCTGGAGAACAAGCATTATGTATTGATGTCCTGATCTTATCCTACACTCTTGGAGTTGCTCTTTGGAACCTGTTTCAGAAGTCCAATACCAGGGTGAGTTTTGTGGTGGGGGAGTTTTTCAAATGGTTTTCCTTAGATGCCTTGCCTTTCTCTGCATGACAAAAGTGGGTTTTTTCCTATTACAACAAGTATTTTAAGTGGATTTAGGTGAACTGTTGCTGTGAGTGAAGCCCTAAAAAAAAAAAAAGGTCACGAGAAAACCAGATTAATTCCATCCTACTTTGCTTTTGAACAGTTGCCCACTTCTATTCCATTTCAATGGTAGATGCAGTAAGAATTAATACCTCTTTATTCATCCAGCTCCTGCCCACATTCATCCAGGGTGCAATCTGTGCTTTCAGATTTCAGCAAGGCTTGGTTTTCTTCTTGGAGTCTGGTCCCCTGTGCACCATCAGCTTTGCCAAATAATTCCTGATGCAAGAAGAATGTATTAAATTCTGTTTTCCCCTGTGCAATGTCATCAGCCCTTTTTACTGATTTTAAAGGCATCAGAAATGTGTAAACTAACAAGCAGGGGTGTTTTAGTATTAATTATCTCATGACACTGCAGTGGAACAAGGACACAGATCACAACCAGCGATGATAAAATAAACCAAGCACCACTCTTGCCTCCAAGCCTGCAAAACAAATCCCAAGTTTCCAACTTTGCAGGGAGTAGGGAGGAGAAACACCTCCATCCTTGTTAACTGACCATGTGGGAGCTTAGCCAAGGAAGCTGAAGGGGCTGGAAGGCCCTAAACCAGCTCCATCCAGAGGGAGGTTGTGTCTCAGCCATGTATTCCAGCTGTCCTTCCTGCAGGGTTGCCTCTCTTTTTGTTCCTTTGCTGTGGGACAGTGAAGGAGATGGAGATGTAAAGGTTCCCAGGATTTCCTCCAAACACAGGCACACGTTCTCTTCAGAGAATACCAGAACACTGCAGCCAGTCCTGGTACAGCCTCAGTGAGAAGCAAGAAAATAAAGTTTGGTGCCATTTTTACAAGTCCTTTTCAAAATGGAAGTTTGTGAAGTCACTCTGAGCTGGAAAAAAACAACCCCAACACCAGCAGCAGCATTTCCTCAGTAACAGCAAACAAAGAGACTGAAAACAGCAGCTCTTCATGCCCATGGAAGAAGGCAAACACAGAGATTTTGGGTTAAAAATCACAAGGAAGGCAGGCTGGAGGTTATTTTTGGTGAGGTCATTTTGGGGTGTCATTTCTGAGGCAGAGTGGAGCACGGGGGGTTCTCACCTTTGGGTCACCGTGTTCTTGGAGGAATGAGGCCTTTCCATGGGCAAGGATGGCTCCAGATTTTGTTCCACACGACTGGAGCTGTTTGAAACCCATCCCTGATAACATCAAAGGGCCTTGTGTGACTCCTCCCTCGCCCCCGTGATGTGGCCACGGCAGAGGAGGGGCACCGTGCGGTTGTTTCCATTTTCAAAGGGTGCAGCTGGAGTTTTAGGGCTTTTGAGAGCTTTTGGTGCCTTCCCTTCGAGGTGACAGTAATGAACCTGGTCAGGGAAATAAAAACAGAGCAAAGAATTTTTAAAATCTAAGGAATCCTAAGAAACAATGACTTAGTCACTCTCTAGCCCACTTTTTCCCAAATTAGTAAAAATATAGAATGATTTAGGTTGAAAATACCTCAAGGACAACTGTGCACATGAAAAGATTACTAATGATTACTGAATATGCTCACTGAGCACTGAGGACCCACAGCATCTTCAAAAGGAGAAAGTTTAACACTTTAAAAATTACTTCAAGGAAAAGATTACTAAAAAAAAGATGCAAAAGTACGTGAAATATAGTTATATATATATAATATATATATAAATAGATAGATCTTTTATATGTCGCAAGGGGCCATTCCCCTATTTTTTTTTATTTTCTTTCTTTATTTTTTTTATTTTTTTTTTTTATTCCGTGGCCTTGCAGTTGTTCCCAAGCCACCTTCGTGGGTTACACTTGGATCACTACACCTGAAGCCCTTCCCGTGCCTCTGAGGGGGCACCGACCCCTCATCACCGCCGGGCTCTTCCTGAGGGCGCTGGGTGCCACAAGCGGCCGCCTGGCACCACCACGGCGGCCATATCCAGCCAGAACCCTGCGCCCCGAGGCTCCCCACGCTGGGGGGCGATGAGGGAGCCCGAGGGCAGCTGAAGGAGCCGCAGACCCCCGGGGCCCTGCCCTCCCCTCACCCGCCATGCTCCCAGGGCGCGGCCCTTCCCCTCCGCCCGCCAAATCTCGCGAGAGCGGGACTCGCCCTTCCCGTCATGCCCCGCGCGCCCTGGCAACGCGCCGTTGCTAAGGGCGGCCGCCATGGCGGCGCCGCCGGGGCTCGGGGTGTTCTTTGTCCTCATCCTCCTCCTTCTGTCGCCGCCGCTGCCGCTCCGGGCGGAAGAGCCGGCCGCGGAGCCTGCAGATACTCGTGATGCCGCACAGGCGCGGGTCCGCAGCCCGCCGGCCCCGGTCACGGACGGTGGGTGCCCTCCGGGCGCTGCGGGCACCGGCGGCGCTCGCCGGCTGAGGGGAGCCCCGCTCGCGGCCTCCCTCGGGCATTCGGCCTTTGGCCTCCCCTTCGCGGGACTGGCACACCCTCCCGGCTTCTCCGGGGGATGTCTGGAGTTCTCTGCAGCCCTGGGAGCTGCAGCCGAGGCCGCTCGGAGCCTCCTCGGGAAGGCTGAGCCCGAGCGGCCCGCAGGCCCTGGGCACGCTGCTGGTGGCATGGACATTGCACAGGGCATCCCACAGCGCTGAGGGCCCGTGGGGGTGGAGGGCAGGGGCTGCTGCCCGCCCAGCACTGCCCTGGGTGTCCTTGGAGAGCTGCGCACTTTGCCCCGAGGGTCAGCCCCGGAGCTGTGGATACATTGTGATAAAAACAGAGCTCGCAGAGTTTGGTTACTGTGTTCTCAGAAGGTGTTTCCCGCTGTATAATTTACTACACTTTTGTATCACTTTCGTATCGCTTTCATATCGGGTGGTGTTGCCCTCAACTGAGCTTTCCATGGGTTACTTGCCGAAGGAAAGCCACCCCAGTGCTACCTCCTTAGGGAAAAGGGATTTAAACCCCTAATCTCACAGACAAAACCTTGCAATCTAATCATCCACGTTTAAACTTCTCTGTTTACAGGGTGAGCTAAGGATCCAGGGCTAAGCTCAGCCAACAGAACAGTCAGAACTTCAGAGATTGCAGGAAATACCTGGGTACTGTTCAGGTGGTCAGAGAGCATCCAGGGGGCCACAGGGAAACAGGCAGCAGTCAAAGTGAAATAAAGGAATTAGTAATGAAAGTACTCTTTGAATGTCTTTCTTATAAAACACTGGCCTTAATTTTCCTCATTCTGTGCTATTCTTAAGTCTAAATTAATTATAGAACAGCAACTCTCAAAAACAGTTCAGTAGAATAATATCTGTTCTTTGAATTTATAAACTTGAAGACCTCAGAGAGTCTGAAGAATTTGCCAAGTGTATTTTACTGAGACAGTTTACAGAATTATTGGCAATTACTCTGTCTGTGATTACAATACTTCACAGTATCCAAAAACAGAGAGAAAAAACACACTTTCAAAGAAGTCAATTATGGTTGTTTTGGCACATCAGGGAAATGTATTCCTGGACCCTGAGCCATCCTCAAAACTTGTAATCATCTCTGCTCTTTCAAAATGTTTTATTTTTCTTCCCAATAAGCTGGAACAAGCAGATAAACACACCTTGTTGGTATCTCTCATTTTTTTTTTTCCCTCTGCAAGGCTGAGTAGATTTTCACACCTCCCAAATCCCTGTTGGGTTTTGTTTCTCAGGGAACACTTTTTCCTGTGGCTTGCTTTTATCCGCACGTCCCAAACAAATTTGCTCGGCAGCGGGAGAGATGGCTTTTTAAAAACACCTTCAGGAAAGCCTGGATTTGGAGAAATCCTCTGCCGTCAAAACCAGGGCGAGGTGATCAGCGGAGGTGTCTGGGCGGTGCTCTGAAGCACCGCTGCGGTTTCTCATCCCGCTCTCTGCCGCAGTTGCCAGGCTCTGTGTCTGCGACCTGCTGGTGGCACAGTGCGACACCAACTGCTGCTGCGACCCCGACTGCAGCGCCCAGGACTTCGGCCTCTTCACCGCGTGCTCGGTCCCCGTGGTCGTGTGAGTGCAGAAGTAACCAGAAAGCACAAAACCCTTCTTCCTTTGCTGCCTGTCCTCTCCTCTGGGTAATTCCCACCCCCACTCCCTGCTGCCATCCTTGCACCGGTCCCTGCTGCACTCTGTCCCCAGCCAGGCAGAGCAGAAAATCCACTCCCACCCAGTTCTTTCCCTCTTTCCTCCTGTTTCCCTGTGCTCCTGTCTGTGGGTGTTTAGGTGGTGCTGCTTTTTTGGGGGTAAGAATGATGCATCTCTAGACTTTGGTCAATGCAGTGTCTGGCAGTTAGAAAACTGATCCCAAAGGACCAATCTGGCAACTTCTGTAGATCACCAGTTTTTATCAGTAAATTTATCAGTGACCTCTTTGACTGCATTCATGATATCAGCTGCACAATCAATTTAGAGCTTGTTGAAATAGTGTGAGCATTTTTCTGACCCTAATTTTACAAGTCACCGTCCAACCTGCTCCCCCACTGCCACTTCACAAACAATAAAATGTAACATTATACCAAAAAAGTAAAGCTAAGAGTTGTTTCTTTGCTATTTAATCTGAAAATACCTTCACCCAATTCCATCTTCTCAAAGAGGAGTTAAGAAAACTCACTTCAGAATCATAATGTGCAAAAAATTTCTTGGTGACTTCTCAGAACAATAAGTGCAGCTTTTCAACCCACCTTCTGTATAAATTATGCCAATCTGAGCTCTGGGTTTATTCTTGGTGCTTTGGAATTTGAATTAGCAGTCATGCCAGACTGTGGTTTCTTATTGTTCTGGCACACAAAAGACTCCTGCTCCCCATTTATAGACATTTATATAGATCAGAAAGGTCTAATCAACACCCTCCTGAGTGACACTTTAATTGCCACAGATGACTGTGCTGCCTTTGTCAACTAGAAATGCCTCAAATGAAATTGTGTTTCTTTGCCCAAATTCTTTTGTGTAAAACGTTTCTTTTGCATGAAAAGCCAGGGGATTTTCAGTGTCTGCAGGTGTTGTGGGTCTCGTTATTTACATCAGAGTTTATCTACATTTGTATATTTGTGTTATTTTGGCTGATGCCAAGGCAGAGGCCGTGAGATCTCTGCAACAGCAGCAGAAGGATTTGATTTATGATGGGATCCTTTGGGTTTGATTTATGATGGGATCCTGTTGGGTTTGATTTATGATGGGATCCTGGTAACAAATGACTCACCTCATGGAGGAGCTTAACTCCAGGCTTCAAAATTTCTGAAAGTCATTTCACTTCTCCAAGGCCTGTCCTTAGCTGCTCTGTGCTGCTAAATGCCAGTTTCACAGGTGTGGGACACACCAGCCCTGCCAGGCTCTGAACTGGCACATTCTCCTGCAGCTCTGGGCTCCTGATGAGCCCCTGGCACAGCCTTAAACACTTCTCCAAGGCAGGCTGGGTTATTTCACCTTCTGCCATTTCTTTCACATGCATCTCAAGCAGGAATTCTTCCCATTCCCTGCTCAAATTGGGTATTATTCCAACATCCACAAAACTGACCTGTCATCCCACTTGGGTTGTAGAAATGAAAGTGCTGCTGAGCTGTGCATGGCCTCTGGTGCAGCCCTGCATTTTTGGGGTCTCAACCTTCTGGATCCCATCCAATTTGGAATTTTCCCTCTCATATTGTCACTGGTTTTCCCTCCCCCAGTCTGTTTCTTACCTTCCTTCACATTGCTGCTCACATTTTCCTCTGCTGAATAAAACATGTGGGAGACTTCTCTATTATTTATATTAAGCACAGAGTATAAAACAATAGGAACCTTCTAAGGGTGCACAATTGTTCTACAAATTATGTTAAATTCAATAATTTCATGCTTTTAAAATTTTTCTGGTGCTGCCTCAGTAGATTAAAAGAACTTTAAAATCTGGCCAACACTAACTTCTAGTGGATCATTAATTTCTTTTGTTTCTTTGCAGAGGTGACAGCCAGCTGTGTAGTCAGAAAGCTGCTGTGTATTCTCTTGATGTTGAAGCAAATCCACCAGAAAGGATATTTAAATTAATTGACCAAGTCAATCCCAGTATTTTCTGCATTCATGCTGCAAACTGTAAGTAGAGTTGTAGGCAATATTAAGCATTGTGATGTTATTTTTTGCAGGCTCTTTAGGTACCAGAAAAAAACTAAATTTAAATCTATTTTTGTTTCATTAAACCTCTCAGGAAAGTGGTAGTTCTGTCTGCTCACAGTCCTTGTGTTGTGATCCTTTCACTTGTGAAAACATGGAATTAAACATCTGCTATTCTTGGTCTTCTCTGTTGGAAAAAAACAAAATAGTTTATGGGTTTTTTTTTTTTGTAAATAATTTAGCATTTTAAATAATTCATGTTTAAAGTTGTCTCATTGTTACTAAGTATTGTTTCTGTATATTTTTTCCTTAAATTATCTCCTTCTTTAACTATTTTGACAGATAAACAAGCCCTGTACCTCAAATCCCCTGAAATCCCAACTGCGGAAAATTTTGATCAGTTGCTTGATAAATTTGGAGGTGCAACTTTCAGTGCTGAGCCTGAGAACTGGAATTTGGATACAGATGCTCAAAATTCCCCTGAGGCCAATGAAACTTCCAGATATGAGGTAAATGATCTGATTCAATAGGAGGTAAATTTTATTTGATGCAATTAGTATTAGATTATTCCAGAAAGAAGAAATCAGCATTCTTTGCATCTGCTTTTAAATAATGCTGTTCTGCTGGAAGAAGCAAAATTTGCATTGGTCTTTAAATATAGAAAAGTAAAAAGAGGAAATGTAATATTTTGTGTTTAGTTACTTTAAAAAATGAACTGTATTTTTAAGATCTTTGAAAAATAAGGCACTTTTTTTTCTGCTATTTTCAGCATAAAGCTGTAGCAGTGACTGAAAAATTGCTGTACAGAGCATTACTGAGAGATCCTGTGGAAATAAGTTTATTATGCTTTTATTCATATTTATTGTTAATAAAAATGGTTGAAACACACCTGTGTACCTGACTGTGGCTTTTATTTGGCAGTATGGGGTTCCTGTCCAGACAGAGGATGCATTTCTAAGGCTGCCAAGTCCTGTTGTCTCTTCTTGGTGCTCTGATGCAAATCCTGCAGGTTGGAAAGCACACTTGAATCCCAAATTTTTGTTTTTTAGTATTCTGCTCTTAG